ATATATGGATATAGTGATTTTAATTTTTCAAAAGATTTGTTAGTCCAGTTTTATATTTTCATAAATTTATAATGGACAATACAATTTAAGTGGCATACATATATTGTTTTTCAAGTATTTTTTGTATATATGTATGTATGTATATACATATATCATAATTTTTATTGAAAATTTCACTTTATATTTTCAAACATACTTATTAAATCATTTGAAATTATTATTATTTTTTTTTGACAAAAAAGTAATGAGGCATAACATTTTTCAAATAAATTGTAGACTTTTATATACAATTCAATAAAAAAATAATTTAGGTGTGTATAGTAAAAAAAAATTTTTTATATTGTGAAAAGTAAATTAAAATAAATTTTCTTCTTCTGAATAGAAAAAAAAATTAATTTTTATCAAAATGAATAAAATAAAGCTTTTTCAATGATAATTTTCCAAAACTTTTCTTAAAAAAACAACAACGATACAAAAAAATTTCATTACCATTAAAATTTTACAATAATGCCCATATATATATATATATATATATATATATATACTGACAATAGAACATCATTTATATCAAAATTTCAGGAACAGAGAAGAAAATTAGTACATGCAGGTATAACATTCATTCAATCAAAAACCAAATTAATTTTTTTTTTAAATCCCTTTTTCGGTAATGATAAAGAACCAAAGAAACAAAGGTAACCCGTTGTAGCATACGGCCGGATTTCTCCTTTTGCGTCCGAATTCCTTAAAAATCGACTAATATTTAACATCTCTGCCTAAAGCTATGTTTTCTATCTATCCTATATAAAATATATATGTATTCGTATATTTAAACAATATTTATTTTTCTTTTAAAATAATTAATTTTTCTTTAAAAAAAGATGTTGCTTCCCTTCTATATATGGAGTATGCAGTTTCTTAAATTTTTGATTTTTGTTGCAGAAAATATTTTTAAACAAACCAATTATTATTCTCGTATAGTCTTATAAATAGCCTTTGTTATATATAAACTTACTTCGCTTTTCATAATTCTGTTAGTCATTGTCGTCTTCTCATTTGTAATTTATGGGTCAGAGTTGTAACTTATACATTTACTATGTGTGAATTATACATTTATATTTCTACTTCTATATATTCCGAATTTATTTAGTTCATTTAAATGCGAGTCTACTGTATTTATACATAATACAATTTTTTTAAATTTATTTCTTTAAGCACATTCAAAAAGACTAAAAAAAATTTCAAAATATTATTTGGTTGTCTTCCCTTTTAAATGCTTTTATTAATCCATTATTATAAAATACTTTCAACAATTCTCGTTTAAGACCGGGTTGCAGAAAAAATAAAAAATAAAATAAATACTTTAATAAATTTAATATATAAAATTGTAAAATATTTGATAATTAAAAAATTATATTTAAGAAAAAATATCTTTAATATTTTAAATTTGTGCAAATGTGAGATTCTCTCACTATTTATAGCAAACAAACCGAATCATTCAATTTTTATTTAGAAACTTTCTAAGTACAGTACTTAGATGACTTTATAGTATTGGCAAATTGTGATCGCGTTAATCAACCAATGAACATATCTGTCAAATCCTAATTAAGCTACATAATATATGACAAATTGACATCATTTTTAATGAAAGAAAGGTGAATGGTGAAAAGCTCGTAGACATTAGAGTGCGTTTAAAATTTTAGAGACACAAATTTACGATTACAATTTGTTATAATTCTGATTCTTTCACAAGATTTTTTCCATTTATATTAAATTGTGTGAAGATAATTTCTAAGCGATTTACCGATTAATTTAATTAAAATTGACAAAAAGAATAAATTACAGAGCTATTTCTTATGTTTTATAGGGAATATAAAATTTAATAATAATTATTGAATAAATACCAATAAATATAAAAATTAATTAATTATTTGTTAGATTAATACAAAAATATAGTTACAAAAATTTAGCAATAATTATATGAAAAGTCCACTATTAAAAAATTGACCTACATAAATATAAAAGGAAGGAAATAAAAACTATAATTAAATAAAAAATTAATAAAAATTATAAAATTAAAAAAATAAAAATTATGTATTTTTTACAGTGTTTTCAGTTTTGCAAAAGTGTAATAAACGTTTATAATATAAATTAAAATTTAAAAGTTTTGAAATTCATCCATCATCAATTATGGATGATGATAATATATTAAAAACAGTGGAATCAATACTTGGTAAAAATGTTAAAATTGTTGATTGTGAAAAAACTTCATCAATACGTGAAGAAGACATTTTATTAATAAATGGTATACCAGTACAATTAGAAGGTGATGATGGTAATGCTATCAAAACAGCATTAATATCCGGTCAAGTACCATCATGTGATTTATTAAATCAATTATTATATCAAGCTGGTATATTAAATCAACCAGTACAATTAGAATCAACTGTATCAGTTAAATCATCATTAATAACAAAAGAAGATGTTATTGTTGCTAAAGATGGAAAAATATTAGATGAAAGATGTCATGAAACATCAGAACATCAATATTTTTCAAGTTTATGTGATGAATTATGGGAACCAATACAATCATCAAATACACCTAAAATTAATTGTAATATTAATAATAATAATAATTTAAGTAGTAATAATAAAAATACTAATAATGAAAATGAAAATATAAATAAAAATGATATTAAATTAATAGAAGATTTAAATTATAAAACAAATAAATTAAATAAAAATAATATAAATATTCCAATTGATACTGAATTATTATCAACATCATCATCATCATCACATAAATTATTTACATCATCAACTGGATTATCACCTACAGAATCTACAGTATCTGATTTACATAATAATATTAAAAAATTAAATATAAATAATATACCTTTTAAAAATAAAAAAATTGAACAAATTGATTCAATAATAACATCAAAATCAGTTACAGATAAAGTACGTATACCAATTGATCAAAAAACATTACAAAAAATTTCGAATAATTCAACAAATAATTTAAAAAAATCAACAATTGCATCAATTAAATCAAAACCAATAATTGAATTATCATCATCAACATCATCATCACTATCATCATCATCATTTGATAATAATAAATTTATTAATGTTGATGATAAAAATGATGATATAATGATAAGAGGACAAGATAATAATGAAATTAATATTAGTAATAATGTTGATGAATCAAAAGCAACAGCAACAACTGGTACAATTACAAAATCTATGATTAAAACAAATTCAACAAACGATGCTGATAATAAATATTGTTTACAACAGCAACAATTGCAATCTGAAAAAATTGATGAAAAATCAGCTGCCAAAATTATTGAATTATTTGATTTATATAATCAACCAACAACATCAAGTGGTATTAATACACAATTTTCATCGTCATCATCATCATCAATTATTAATGATGGATTTCCAACAAATTTTTCAATATATGATCCAGTTATATTTAATGCTGTTATAAATCCAACATCATCATTATCATCTTCATCATCATCAACAGTAAATGATGATATTAACATTGATATAATTAATAATAAATATTTTAATAAAAATAATACAATAAATACAGTAACATTACCATTAACAACAACAGCAACAACAGCAACAACAGCAGCAACAACAACAAATAATGATAATGAACCAATTAATTTAATTAATAATATTATTATTGATTCAAACAATGATATTATAATTAATCGTATTAGTAGTTATTGTAATAGTAAAAAACAAATATCTAGAAAAACCAATAATAAAGATAACAAAATAATTATTAATAAAAGTTTAAATAATAGTAATAATGATAGTAATAATAAAATTAAATTTAAAATTAATGATGATATTGAACCAACAACAACAACAAAAGTAGCAACGGCAATAACACCAAATATAATAAATGATATAAAGAATAATATGTCATCATCATCATCTTTATCACATGATTCTGGTCATATTGATTTATATAACAGCACTAGTTTATTATCATCATCACATAATAATTACACAAATAATATTATATTAAATAATTCAAATACTGATAAATCAATACAATCAACAACATCATCATTAGATTATGATGAAAATAATAAAATAAATGATTTAAAGAAATGTATAGATGAAATTGATTTTTGTCATAATACAAATGAACAACAACAATTTTATCAACAAAATAATTTTATTCAAAATTCAAAACATAATAATATTTCAATGGAAATGAAAAATAATACAAATTCAATCGAAAATTCATTGGAATCTTCTTTTAACAAAAATTTACAGGTAAAAAAATCAATAATAAGAATTAATTGAATATTATACTTACATGTATTTTATGTGCATTCATTCAAATTGTTGTACCATATCAGCACATAACTGCTGTCTAGTTTAAAGAATACATTGCATTAGAAAAAATACCTTTGAAATACCTTTTTCAAATTTTAAGGATTTTGTAGTAAAGGTTTTATTTCAACAACTGGAAAAAATGTATTTTTTGCTCTTAAGCTTTAACCCTATTCGGCTCAGCGAAACTTGAGATACGCGTGAGTAAACACACGTAGACTGACATTTTGTTAAGGGAAGGAGGCCATTAATAAGAACGCCAATCATATTAAGGAGGTCAATAATGAACGCAAATTGTACCGGTAGAATATAAATATCGGTAGACATATAAACAGAACTTTCAAATCATAAGCTAATCCACACCAAAATGTGAATATTCCAAGAATTCATTTAACTCATCTGTCTCAAATATTTCTAATAACAATATAATATTCATTTGACAATATTGTATTTTAAATTAACCCTGTACAAACTTAATTAACATCTTCGTTAAAGGTATTAGAAATTAACTTTTTATGATGTTATTGTACAAAACGTACAAAAAATAATTTAATTTAGAAATAAGGTCTTTATATTAAATAATCAATTTTATTTAACAAAAAATCTATTTTTATTTTTTTGTATAATATTAGAGTTTTCCTGAAAGTAGCAGTAAAATAGGACAACATCAATTAAAACAAATTAAAACATCAACAATAGGAACGGGGAGAGGTGGTGCAACTTCAACTTCAACAAATAAAGGAGGGACAGTAACAACAACAACTACAGTTATTGATGAAAATTTTCTTGTTTATAGAGATGGTATATTAATATCTGGACCATTAGAAAGTTTAATTAAGCATATGGTCCCGACAAGTAATTATTATCCAGAAAATTCATTTATTTTTGCATTCCTTTTAAGTGCCAGATTATTTATTAATCCATATGAATTATTACAACGTATTTGTCAATTATGCGAGGAACAACAAAATATCATTGTTAAATTACAACAAACTAAAGCAAAAAATTCAACTGATAACAATTCTTTGTTATCATCAACCTTGGCATCTTCATCATCATCCTCTACATCATCATCGTCAACAAGTACATCAGGAATATGTAGTGGAAGCGTTGGTGTTGGTAGTTCCTTAAATAATGGTCGTAATTGCATTAATATTATGAATGATAATTGTAATGGTATTAATGATAATAATGTTACGGGTAATTCTTCAACATCAACTGCAACAACAGCAACAAGAACATCACCTAATAATAGAGTTAATACTAATATAAAAAGTAAAAGTAATAATAATAGTAATAATAGTAACATTATAACAAATCATAATACGAATTTACGACAACTACAAAAACAGCAACCATATAATCAGGATAATCAAACAGATACTAAAACATTGTTAAAAATGTTCGCGAAAAATTTTTTACGTTTATTAAATGAATGGGTTAATTTATTTCCATATGATTTTCGTGATGAACGTTTAATGCAACAAGTTCGTACTATGCAACAGAAATGTATTAGTATCGATAGTAATTTAAGACAGGATGTATCAATAATACTACAAAATTTGTTAGAAAAATTAACAGTATTAGAAACTTACGAAAATTTTTTACAAAGTTTATCGAATTCAGATGCAACAGATTTTACTAACAATATGAATTCAGGTAAATTTATATAAAAAAAAATAATTATTGCTCGTTTCCATTTATTGATATTTTAAATCCCTTCTATTTTATTATTTAGGAATATCATCATCATCCAATAATGACAAAGATCATCATTATTATCCACATAATTTAACATCATCGAATAGTTTAGTAATGCCAGTTACAACAATACCATCATCAACAGTAACAACTGGTGCAGCAGCATTAACAACAGCGACAACATCATCTTCTTCTTTATCATTTCATCATCATATAACTGGATTAATACCATCATATACAAATCATTCAATGTCATCAAGTTCAATTGGTAGTATGGCTAGTATAAATGGGGGTGTTGAAATAATTGAAATATGCCCTTCATCAACCGTATTATCACAACAATTAACGCATATAGAATTAGAAAGATTATCGCATATTGGTCCAGAAGAATTTGTACAAGTTTTTGCCAAAGAAAATATTAATTTAACTGAAAATCACAAATCATCTAATACAAATAATATAAAAGGAGCATCATCTGAAACACCACTAAATGCTGATGTTAAAAAAACTAGAAATTTAGAAACTTATGTACACTGGTTTAATCGTCTTAGTTATTTAGTAGCGACGGAAATAGTTAAAGTAAAATTTGTATTGTATTTAAAATTTAGAATTTTAAATTTAACCCTTAATTTATTTTTAGTATTCTAAGAAAAAGCAGAGAGTTCGAGTTGTAGAATATTGGATAGAAACAGCAAGAGAATGTTTTAATATTGGAAATTTCAATAGTTTAATGGCAATTATTGCTGGACTTAATATGTCACCAATTTCTAGACTTAAAAAAACAGTTAGTAGAAAGATTGTTTGTTTTTTTTTAAATATAAAAATTATTTCCACAATATGTATTTATATATTTTTTTAACTTTGTTTTTTTTTAGTGGGCTAAAGTTCAATCTGCGAAATTTTCTGTACTTGAACATCAAATGGACCCAAGTAGTAATTTTAATAGTTATCGATCAACATTAAAAGCTGCTATGTGGAGATCAGCTGGTGCAACAAATGAAAGAGAAAAAATCATTATACCATTTTTTAGTTTATTAGTAAAAGATTTATACTTTTTGAATGAAGGGTGCTCAAACAGGTTATTTAAAATTACAATATGATATAAATGGACCTTGCATTGTAATATTGATACAAGAAGTTCAAGTCAATGTATTTAAAAACAAAACAAAAAATACGAATATTTAAAGCGTTATAGATCAATGATAAAAAATATTTCTAAAACAATAATGCAAGTCAATATCTGTTATTGTCTAAAACAATAAACAAATCAATTTGAATTTAATCTGTAACGTTGTACAGAAAATTCTGAATAAAATAGCTTTTTTTTATATCTCGTCACTGAATTTTCTTCATTTTGTATAAAATTAATTAATTTGTTTTTACTAGATTAATAAGGCGGAAAAAATGAGAAGAGTTCATTCAGTAAATTCATTTTTGTCAATTTTTTCAAAGAAATATTTTTGTTAATTTACAATTTCTTAAGATTACAAACTTTTTTTAATTTGAATATACTTTAAAATAATTTCATATTTTGAAAATACAATGCAATTAACCGGTCCAGTTATGTTGATTATATTATATAATAATATTTTTAATCAATTAAAAAAACAACTTATACATTTTTGTCTTAAAAACAAAAGCTAATTTTATTTTTTTTTCTTCATTTTTTTGATTAGATTATCAAATGGTCATATTAATTTTGAAAAATTTTGGCAAGTTTCAAAACAAATTAAAGAATTTATTAGTTGGAAAGAAGTTACGTGTCCATTTGAACGTGATCAAAAAACAATTATGTATTTACAAAGAAATCCTATATTAAATGAAAATACATTAGCAATTGCATCATTTGAGTGTGAACCACCAGAAAATCAACAAGAAAAAGAACGTTTTAAGGGATTAAAAATTGAAATATTACAATATAATAATAGTAATATCGGTTTAGGTAATAATATTAATAGTGGTAATAACAGTAATAATCCTGGTTGTAGTGGTTCTAATAATACTAATACTGGTAATACTAATAATAGTCATATAAATCAAACAATACCAACTACAAATTAAGTTAAATTTTTTTCCCGAAATATACAAATATATATTTATATATGTATATAAAAGGAAATATATATCTATATAATAGGATACACAAAGATATATATATAAATGAGAGGGTTAAAAAAAGCAAAAAAAATACATACTTAGTGGACTCAAACACTTAAAAAATCATAATGCATTTACTTAATAACAGAAAACTTATCACAACTATATAATCAAAATTAAAATTATATTGAAATTAAAAAAAAACAACCAAACAAAAAAAGTAAAAATTATTTAAATAAACATAGAATTACTATATCAAATATATATTCAAATACAAATATGAAATATATGATATGAATTATATAATACTAGAAGATGAAATTGGATGAAAAATGCACATAAAAATATATATAAATATATATATATATATATTTTTCTTTCTATATTATTTAACAACTAAGTTCAAAAGATAAGCAATTTAGCAATATACTGTTATTTAGCGTGTCCAAGCGAATGGCGTCGATCTTTTGAGCCTCCTGGTAGAGCTGACTGGGATGAGTAATTTTTGTATTTCGTTATTTGAATTGTAATTTCCTCATGTTCCTCGGAATTCACCTTTAAGTCACGATGTGTAGTGTCATTTCTTACATACCACGGTGCTCCTGCGATGTTTCTTAATACTTTGCAGTATTTGTATTTAAGAATAGTTCGTTTTTTTTAGTATAACCCCACAGTTGTATTCCATATGTCCAAATTGGCTTGATAGTTTGCTTGTATATCAGGAGTTTGTTAATGATGTTGAGTTTGGAGTGGCGACCAATTAACTATTGGAGTTTTTGTATTTTTAATTTCATTTTTGCCTTTTTTTTCTTTACGTGCTCCTTCCATTTTAATTTCACGTCAAGCGTCATGCCAAGATATTTTGCTGTATTTGCATATGGTACCTGTGTTGCCTTAATTACGATTCTTTAGATTTTTTTGTTTGTAAAGTTAATGTGGGTGGATTTTCCTTCGTTTAATCTAACTTGCCATAGTTGAGTCCACTTAAAAATTTTGTTAGTCGCCCTCTGTAGACTTTCCGTAGCCTTTTCTACTGTGTCTCCAGTGGCCAAAATCGCCGTGTTATCAGAAAAAAAATAGCTAGGGTGTAGTTTTCACTCGTGGGTATATAATTGGTGAACAATAAGTACCACAGCGGGTCAAGGACACTGCTCTGGGGAATGCCAGCCCTAATATTTTTTAGAGCAGAATATTCACTTTCGTGTTTAAACCGAAATGTTCTGTTTGAGAGGTATGAAGATATTAACCTACAGTAATCCTTTGGTAAATCTCTGTTTAGCTTGCAAATCCATCCCTTATGCTACACCTTATCAAACGCTTATGCAACATCCAGAAATAGTGAAGCACAAACCCCTTTATTTCCTAGCGTTTCTTCAATTATATTAACTATCCGGTATAACCCGGTCTACAGTTGAGTGGCCTCCCCTAAAACCAAACTGATGATCCGGCATTAATCTTTTTTCTTCAATGATTAGAGTTAATCTATGCATAATTGTGTGTTCAAAAATTTTTTACATGATCGGCAACAATGTTATCGGCCCCTATGATGTTTTATCGCTCGGTGGCTTACCTTGTTTAGGTATCATGATGACTTCGGTCATCTTCCATTGTCTAGGTACATACTTCTAGTTTAACGATAGCATTCATTATATATACCCGTTTTTTTATGGTTGGCCGTTTTTTATTTTTTTTTTTTAATAATTCTCCTGATATAAAATCGTATCCAGGAGCCTTTTTACGTTTAATATTGTATTTGATTTCGTTTTTCAATTCTTTAATAGTAACTTTGGGCACCGTTCTGAGATCCAAGTTCTCTATTTGCGGGACATTTTCTTCATGAGCTAATGTAGGTAATGGCGTTAAACTGTTCTGGAGATATTCGGCAAACAAATTTGCTTTATCCTTGGCAAATCTTACTCTAGATATATATATAATGATAAAATTCCATTTTACAATATTATTACAATTCAAATCAGTATGTATATATATATAAGTATATTCATATTATAACACCGCACATCTTATTCATGAAAACAAAGTTTTAAGAATAAAATTAGATTTTATTTCCATTCTGGGAACTGATTTTACATTTAGTCTTTTTATTATTTACGGGAGCAAAAAAAATCCAATTAAAATTTAGTCAATTTATCGAATATAAAAAAAAAGTTTATCGAATAGAAAAAATAACGCTATATAATTTTTAAATTAAATATTTTTAATATTTTCGAAAAGTTAAAAATCATAGATAACCAAAAATGTGAATAAATAAAAGTTTTGTGAAATTTTCTTTCTGTTGTAAGCCTTTGTATCGCAAATTTAAGATTCGAAATTTAACTTTTAAACCAAAATTGTATTCATTGTACAAATAAAATATTTTGTATTCATTATATGGAATCACTTAAAATATTAAAATAAAATCGAAAAATAATTATAATAAATAGATATTTGTATATATATGTTTCGAAATTCTTCAAAAATTCACTATTATGCAAAATAATTAAATTAAATTGGAAATATTTTCAATAAATTTATCGTTTCAATGCTTACAATTTTTTATCATAATTTAAAAACTAATTTTATGTTGTTTTTTTTTAAGTAGAACTCATTTATTAATTTATATATTATGCTCAATTGTTAATTATTTATAATTATGTATGTGGATTTATTTTAATATTTGTATATTATTTTAGATTTTAATATCTATATTTAAAAGAAAATATTAATTTCATTATTAATACTGAAAAATTGCCAATAATTAAAAAATAAGATAATATATGTATATATTTTTAGGAAAAATGGACTTAATATAAAAAAAACAAAAAAAAAAAAATTTAAGAAAAGTTTTTAAAATGCATTAAAATAATTTTATATCATATAAATAACTGAATTTAAAGATGCATTTTTTGAGCATAAAATTTTCTTTATTCCCAGTATTTAGTTAAAAATTAAAAAAAATATTTAGAAAATTAAAGAATGATGTATATATTATATCACAATACATACCATAGTTTTTTTATTCGTTTAATTATGTACCAAGTAATTAAAAATGAAGTTCTAATTTTTTTAAAGTACATATAAATATTTATATATTTTAACTTTAATTGCTTAAATTATTTAGTTTTTCTTTTGTTTATAAAAATTTAATATTTGTGTTTTTATATTTAAAATTACAAATTTTAATATTTGTTTTATGTGTACACTTATATAATATTATAAGAAATTTTAATAGTATATACTAGCAGATATTATTCTGTCATTTTGTATAAGCTTACTTATTAATAGATTTCATTCCGTATAAAATAAAAAAAATATTTTTATTATTTCTAAGGGATCTTTATATATATATATATGAATGATTTTTATGTTGGTGCCGATTAAAAATTTTTTTTTGTAAAAATTAATGTAACATTCGAAATTTAAAATTATGTTGTCTAATACATTTTATGGAATTATTTATTAAAAAAAATACTTATATTAATATATTTTGTTTTAAAATTAATAAGATTAAAAAATATTTAGATAATTGTATATATATTTTCTTTCATACTATCACTAACAAATTTGGATGAAATGAATCACTGATCGTTAAGAGACCAAATAAAATTTAAAAGAATCAGTTGTTATAAGTAAGCATCACATTCGGATAAATTAATTTTAAATATTTCTGAATTATTTAGGAGCTGCGAGAAAAATGTATATTTATAAAATGTAAAACTAAAAAATGAAAAATTTTTGATCAATCTAAACCTAAAAAACGATGTAAAATTAAAAATATATTATATCATATTATTATATATAATATATTATTATTTAAATTAAACGATAAAAAAATTCAAATCTACTTTATAAAGTAGTAAATATACATGTTTTTCTCTTGGAAATAATTATTTAATTAAATACTTTTCATATAAATAATCTATAAATATTAATTTAATAATATGTTTTAGTTTCATGCTAGTCAAAAACAATAATTATAATATCAAAAAAAAAAAGCATAAAAATAAAAACAATTGGGTGAATAAAAACTAAATAATTCGGGTTCGAATGATGCTGGTATAAATTTTAAATACTAACAAAGAAAAAAATGTAGCGTTGGTAAAATTAAAAATTTTAATTTAAAAATTAATTATTTAATTTATTATACAAAATTTGTAAAATTCTAGAGTTTACAATTGTAATTTTTTTATGAAATTTTTCGAAATGTAAGTTTTTAATCAGAATATATATAAAAAACCCATATAAAAAGTAAATATATCATTCCAACACTGACAGTTTGTCCAAAATAGCAGAACGCGAATGTTCAAAATTAGCAGCTAATATTATTAGTCCTAACATTTCAGTACATAAGACCTTCATTCTGGCAAGGTATTGTTTATGTATCTTAAACCAAATCAAAGTTATGGTTTTGTTTTAGAGATTAAGCGTATTTTAACCTTAAATGCTATATAAAAATTTATTTTAACATAACTGCAATATTGCGAATTCGAAAGTTTGCCATTGTAGAACTGATATTATACATATGCAAAATACTTGATATTAATATAAGAATGAAATACTTATCATAAGATAATTTAAATTAATAAAGAAAAAGTTCAATAACTTATTCTATTTAACTGCAATTTCTAATTGAAAATTAACATTTAATCGAAAAAATCAGGAAAACTGGATTTTCAATATTTTTAATTTTATTTTAAATAAGAAAAATATGATTACTGTATAATGAAATTTGAATATTTTTCATAAAAACTTTAATATAAAAAAAATTAAAAATAAAGCACAAAAGTATAATTTTCAAAATTTTAATTCTTTTAACAATTAATTTTTTTGCAAATTTTCAAAATGGGTTTAGTTATATGATTTTCTTTAAATAGCTTTTTTTTATGTAATAGTATTTTTTTATCTATTTTTAATTTAAAAAAAAATCTGTGCTGTAAAACACGGTCCGTGGATAATATTAAATTCAATAAAAATTATTTTATTTACTAATTATTTTAATTAGGAATTTTGAAGGTACACATAAATATTTAAAATTTCATTCTTGATCTGCATGAATTTCATGAATAAGAATTGTGGTAGTTAAATTTCCTTAAATTGAATTTAGTGCGGATGTTGAAAAAAACTATACAATATTATATATTAAATATTGCGTATAATTATTAATATATATAAAGAATTTTTTTTGAAATTACATAATGATACAAATTAAAAACATTAAACAAGTTCATATGTATTTAATAATCATCAATTAAAATTTATAAAGTAGAAAATCTTATACATTGACTGTATCTACAGGAAATATTCTGACCTAATATACAAGAAAATAAATTTGATATCAAGCTTACAATCAGTAAAGTTAAAAGGATTAACATTTTTTAAATAATGATACTCACTAATACAGCATTTTCGATAATTTAGAATATGAAGTCCATTGTAATACTAACTTAAATACAATTTTACTTTTGTTGTTTCATAATTAGAGATCTGTAGAAATGAAATACATAGTTTACATTTTATTTTTTATTAAATATTCAAAAGGTAATCACAGTTCGATAAAAATTGGCTAGCAAAAATTTTGTTGAATGAGATATGGTGAATTAGTAAGATATGGTGAGGATCGAAAAAAGAACAAGGGTATACATTTAACTAAATAATTTATTAATACGTTCAATGGATCGTGAAATAAAATGTCCTTAATAAAATGTCCTCCAATTCTTTTTATTAAATTGTTATATTTTTTGTTGAAATAATATTTTTCTTTTTTAAGTGAATTTAAAGTGTATTTGAAATGTTATTTTAAAATGAAAAAATTTTAATTCCGACAAAATAGTTTATTTTAGTTCAAAACTCATAATAATTTAATCCAAAAATGTTATACACAAATTAAGAAATTATAGTCCGACTTTTTTATAAAAAAATATTTTCCTGGACAGTTGTTCGTTTTATTAAGTTAATGTATTTACGACTCCCCTAGTGTAGAATCTAGTACACTTTTGATACCGGCTGAACTAAGAGCTTTCAAATAAAAATATTGAATGACATAACGATGACCAATTTTATCCATATTAAAAATTTACTGAAAAGCTTCACTATTAATAGTCGGTAATCTGAAAAGCAAAAAAAATAAAAATAAAAGTGTGACAGTTAATCCTTAAAATTATTCTGCCAGGCTTATTTTTTTTCAAAATTTTTGTGTTTTCTTGGTTAGGCTACTTAATTCTGGGACAGCCCTCGTAATTATAACAACTTAACTGAACTCAATTACTATTTTTGAACATATTTACAGCAAATAATTTATTATTAAGCGGATATTACAATTATAAAGTTAAATAACTAAAAAGCCTTGTTAGACATTTATTGTGGGAATCATAAAAATAAAGTTTTCACACGTAAATTACTAAACAATATTCTGATAAAAGTTATGCTGATCTCAGCGTCTGATGTCATGCGACTAATGTATTTCGTTTATTAATCTAAGAAAAAAAAAATTAATTTTTGTTCTTTAACTCTAATTTATTTTCTTTATTTTTATTTAAACAAAATTTTACATAATTCTAAAGTTCACAAATTTTTATACGTATATGTAATACAATTTACTGGTTGACAGTTTAACTACAACTAACTTATTATACTCGTAATATACATTTTTCATAAATTGAACCGTTGTGCTGGATCAAATTTGTTGACTATTCATTTTTAACTTATAAAATTTTCCAGTCAAATTTTAATAAACAACCCGAAACGTGGGAACGTTGTTCACATATTACATATAGCTTGCGCATGTATCATATTTCATTCTTCCTGGAGAATGGTTGTCGCTCATTGTTGGTGGCAAAATGTTTTTAGACGATTGAAATTCTTTGTTGATGTAGGTCTCGTTTTTAATTTGAATTGTTTCATTGTAAAATTCGGTGACGAAGTTAAGGTTTTTTGTTGTGTTGTTAGCTTTGACCGTCTCGTTGAAAAAGTCTCGAAAGTTCATAGGCAACCGTGTTAGTAACGCCTGCTTTGTATACTAACTCGTAGTTATATCCTTCTATTCATAATTTCCATCTCTTGAGCTTGGCGTTGTTATTTCTGTTGCTTAGATTGAATGGCGTAGGGTGATGATCCGTTAGAATCTTCACTTTTTTTGCTCCATAGAATTAACACCTAAACCCTTCCAGAGCCCAGACTATTGCTAATAGTTTTCGCTCATAAGTTGGGTATGCTTCTTCTGTTTTGTTGAGTGCTCGTGACGTATATGATATTAGGCGATCTTTATCTATGTCGCCTTGTGACAACATTACACCGAGTTCTACGTTTGAAGG